TTTTTTTTTATTAAAAGAAACGTTAACTAACGTTTCTTTCCTTCTTTTTGTAGGTTCCGGACGTTTGGATGAAACGAACCGGTGAGTTTTGCAACGAATCGTTGCGAAACTTAATTTATTGATTTTTTTTATTAAAAGAAACGTTAACTAACGTTTCTTTCTTTTTTTTTTGTAGGTTCTGGACGTTTGAAACTCGAAATGAACCGGTAAGTTTTGCAACAATTGTTGCAAAACTTAATTTTAATTATGTTTTTTTTTAAAGAAACGATACTAACGTACGTTTCTTTTACTTTTTGTAGATTCCGGACATTTGGATAATAGAAATCGAAACGAACCGGTGAGTTTCGCAATATTGTATTGTGAAACTTATTTTTTTAATTATTTTTTTTTAAAGAAATGATACTAAACGTTTCTTTCTTTTAATTTTTGTAGATTCTGGACGTTTGGATAATGAACTTCGAAATGAACCGGTAAGTTTCGCAACATTGTGTTGCGAAACAATTTTTATTAATTTTTTTTAAAGAAACGATACTAAACGTTTCTTTCTTTTAATTTTTGTAGGTTCCAGACGTTAGAATGAATGAAACGACCGGTAAGTTTCGCAATGTTACATTGCGAAACTTAATTTTTGTTTTTTTTTATTAAAAGAAACGTTAACTAACGTTTCTTTTTTACTTTTTGTAGGTTCCGGACGTTAGAATGAATGAAATGACCGGTAAGTTTCGCAATGTTACATTGCGAAACTTAATTTTTGTTTTTTTTTTATTAAAAGAAACGTTAACTAACATTTCTTTTTTACTTTTTGTAGGTTCCAGATGTTAGAATGAATGAAACGACCGGTAAGTTTTGCAATGTTACATTGCGAAACTTAATTTTTGTTCTTTTTTTTTAAAAGAAATATTACCTAACATTTCTTTTTTACTTTTTGTAGGTTCCGGACGTTTGGATAATGGAAATCAAAACGAACCGGTGAGTTTCGCAACATTGGTTGTGAAACTTAATTTTTATTAATTTTTTTTTAAGAAACGTTAACTAACGTTTCTTTACTTTCTTTTTTGTAGGTTTTCACCAGCTTCTACTTTGGCATCGGAGATACATGAATGAATTAGATGTGCGGATTACCCATGGATCATTGGATATCTGATGAATATAGATTAATATAGATTCTCATCGTTAAATAATAATTGTGCATTTGTTAATAAATAATATTGTAATAAATTATGTAAAATTATTAAACCAGTGTTTTAAATTGTCATGGTATTTGCACTAAATTGTTTAAAATTATTACTAAATTTCACTCAATTGTCCGAAATTATTGCAAAATTTCACTCAATTGTCCGAAATTATTGCAAAATTTCACTAAATTGTCTCCGAAAATGTTGCGTTTATACTGTTT